TTATTATTATTATATAGTGTGTGTGTGTGTGTGTGTGTGTGTGTGTGTGTGTGTGTGTGTGTGTGTGTGTGTGTGTGTGTGTGTGTGTGTGTGTGTGTGTGTATGTTCTTGTAATTTCACTGCCGTGAAATTTTTCGCTGTTTTAACTTTCATGAATATCGGTCGTTAGCATACAAAGAGGCGAACACGTTACTCTGCGCTTTGAAAGCGAAGCATCGACTGATGAGGAACGTAGAGACACAAGCGGACCGTATTAGAATGTCCTTAGTGCACCTCCAGCATGGTAAACAACTAATTGCGTTTACAATTTGCACAGGTACATGTTTGCTTACAAGCGTTGCGAATTGTATTGCACAGTAAGACACTGACTAACGTATCGAGCATTTTCATTAACTCCTGGGTTTAACAGAGTTAAATGATGGGCTAATTTTCGATGAGATAATCGTGACTCGCATAATTAAACTTGACTCGAAGCTTAATCATAACACGCGTGTATTCTAAGATCGCGTATCAGATTTTTTTCTTTCGTCGTCATGGATAAGAAATAATAGAAATCAGCAGATAATCGAGCAATATTGCGACGTTGTAAATTGTTGATGTTGACAGTAATGAATTAAATATTAAGAATACATGAATATAATATATGTTTGTTTGTATAATGTGTATTTATCAATGCAAATAGACGTAATAATCACTATAATGGGATTTGCTATCGCGTTATTATATATTATTGCATCCGCCGGTTATGATGATGAAAGTCTCCTCCACATTCATAATCACCATTGTAGGATTTCGCTATGCTGTTACTTCAAAAGCAAAGTAATGAATCCACCCACTGAAGTAAATAATTGGTTTTCGTGTTCGCAGCAGTCGTGGCATCTTCCCGCACAAGATGCGAAAATCACTCGTCTCAAAGTTTCTCCGAGTAGAAGTCGACTGAGCGAAATTTGATTTGATTATAATTATAAATTCACGGCGAACAATCTTCTTTCCCCCCCTTTGCTATCATCGTTTACATTGCCTCGCTCGTTTAACTCGTGTTGCACGAATAACATTTCGCCTGCTTAATCGCGTTCTGTAGTGAGGTCTGAACACCGTACCGTTTCAAGAACGATGATTAAACGGAGAGCAAAACATCCAATTATTTTGTGAAAGCAATATTCTTGAAGATTTAATTTGTCAAACCTTTAAATTGTCGAAATTCTCATTGCCACGTTTTATATCTTGATAATCCTTACAGATTTGCATATATCTCATCAAGATTTGATTTTACATTATAGTTATAGTTTATTTTTTCAAGAAAGAATCCATTATGTTCTTTTAACATAAGTGCAAAATCGTCCGATAGTGACATACTCAATTAGTCAATGAACTCGCAAAAGTATCTCGTTCATAGTTACATTACTTTATTGTATTTTACATTGTTTGTAAATTGGAGAAATCAATCGTGAAATTTTAATTCGATCGTTAAGATACATGGTAATATCGAAGTTTTCCGTTATTACACCATCAGTGGCTTAGGTATCAGCGGCACCATCCGGAGTATTCTCTATGGCCTCATGAAGTCGCCATGTAACGACCGTAACATCGGATGAATCCGATTCGGTTGCGCAGTCTTTTCTTAAGGGGCAGTAACGAAGTTTCCTGCCAATTCCATCTTACGACCTTGCAGATGGGAATTCGAGCTGAAGACCGGCGCGGACAGTGGCCTGTTGCTCTATAACACCGGGCAATCATCCTACGCCGATTATCTTGGCATCGAGCTCTTCGAGGGTAAGATACGACTGTTGATGAACAAGGGGAACGGTCCGACCGAGCTGACGCACGGCACCCTGGTGTCCGACGGAAAATGGCACAGCGTGATCGTGGACTTCAACCCGAGCAGCCTCGGCATCGCCATCGATCATTACGAGAAAACAATGGCTTTGCCGTCCGGCGGCAATCGGTTCCTCGACCTGGCGGAAACACTGTACATCGGTGGTACGGAGTTGAACAAACGCGCCCGGGCCCTAAGTAAGGGTCTCAAGTCTGGCGACGTGAGCTACAAGGGCTGCATACGAAACATGGTCCTCGACAACAAGGATCTCGGTTTACCGGACGTCAAGGTCAGCCAGGGTATCGTCGTGAATTGCGTTTGGGGATATCCCTGTATCGAGGCCGACCCCTGTGTATCTGGTGCGTCATGCATGCAACTGGGCGTCAACTCATTCAGGTGCAACTGCAACCAGTCGCTGTGCATCAAGCCGAATTACGCCGAGGACTACAAGGTAGATCAATTTTAATTGAGTTTCAATGACGCTCCCACTTGGCGGAGGGTTACGTTGCGGTTACGAGCTAATTATGTCACCGGCAACTATGGATTTACGAAGGTGCATAGCTAACTTAGTCAAGATGCAATCTATCCGTATAGATTGCTCTTTAGCAATCATGCAGGATGATCTGATTACTATAGAATATATTATTTAATGTACTCGCGTCTCAATTCCATTAGTATTTAATAATAAAGATCGAATATATTTAAAGACATTACTGACATTATTGAGATAAGACTTATATCTACTCATAAACTAACTGACTCGATATGGCATCCTTGCAGATCTATTCAAATACCACTCTTCCTGTAAATTTGGAAATTCTCTCGCTGAGCCCTCTATTAGTTTCCGAAGGAGAGCACGTGCTAGTAACGAGCGAAAACATCGCGATGGTGCTGGACATCGCCAAATACGGCGTGGAAGAGACTGGCGTTACATTTACCTTGGTAACACCGCCAACTTACGGAACATTGGCGTTAGATCTTCTAACATCTAGAAACGATAATTCCTTCACGTTGCAAGACATCAATCAAGATAAGGTAACTGCCAATCGGCCACGCAATCAATTTACCAAATCCTCAAATTAACGTTTCAGTTCCCGTTTCAAACTCCTTACTTGCTCGTAAGTCCGCGGTCACGGCGATTACCGCGATATTAGTGTCCACCTGTCGATTACACGCGTGACGATAAAACACGAAATAGTCAAGGAGCCACGTATAGCAGGCGAAACTCGATCGGCCTGCACCTGACGTTAATTAATATCAGGTGACTAAGCACGGCCCAAGCTGGCTAGCCGGGCCGGCCGGCCTTCCATAGGCCGAGAAAGGCGCGGTGAATCGTGGAAAGTCATGTGTTCTTCCAGTTCGTCATAGGACCACGCGTTGCTATACATAGTACGTGCCATAAGGACTAACTTTAGAATCGTCGGTGGCGGGAACACGGAGGGTCGGCCGACTTGTCGTCCTCTCGCTCGCTCGCTCGTTCGTTCGCCTGCTCCTCTGCTACCCACACTCAATTTATCTAGCGACAGTGCTCTATTTATAAACTGTCCCGCCACCGCTTATTAATGGTTTTTCGTTAAAGATCGCGTTTATCGGCCGCTTTTTATTTGTCGCGCCATCGTCTACCGTTTATTGCCAATTGCTTTCTAATCGTTAAGGGAAAAAAAAAAAAAAAAAAAAAAAAAACGAAGAGAGGAAAAAGCTCGCGTCTTCCCCTCGTCTCTCGGCTCGGATCAACCAGGGACGACGCCCACACGATATGCTAATCGACAACTTAACCCCTGTCGCTCTAATTAATTTTGAACCACAATCGATCTCGAGTGTTAGATCAAACGCCAGAAAGGATAACACGAATCGGGTGCTCTAACGTACTCTCCCATGATTAATTCTGATTCTGTGGCACGATGTAGTATGTGTTTGCCGATCGAGATTCTCGTGGAACAACGAGCTAACACGTCCACGTATTCCTCGTTGTACGTTGTACAGTTGCTTCTGACCGGTTATACAACAAATTGTTTATATCCACGCGATTTCTTTCATGTGCAAATTTGCCTTTACAAGGCAACGTGAGCGTGGAAAACACGATTATCAGATTGTTTGCCCTCAAAATTTGCGATACATTAGCAATTAATAATCGCTTAGCGATACAAATTTTCCCGAAACTATGTTAATTCTCCGACTCTGCTACGTGCTTACTATGAACTGTGAACTCTGTGCTGCTACTCTATTACGTATGATACGCGGCATTATCCTTATGTTAATTGACTTCCCCGACAGATACAGTATATACATGACGGTAGCGAAACCACAGAGGACAGCATGATTCTGGAATTGACGTTGGTGGCCGGGACGGGTTATACCCTTCCAGGATACCTCCAAGGACGCCTCAGGTTCCCTCTTCACGTTAATGTCACTCCTGTCAATGACCCGCCGTTACTCGAGATACCAACCGCGAAAGTGCTGCGTCTGGCCCAAGTAAGACACGAAAATAAACTCTAAGCTTTTCTCTTTCTTTTTATTATTATTATTATTATTATCATCTAGCTTCCTATCGACGCGTTTATCATGTTATATTTTTCATCGAGTCACCGCGACAATGCGATAATTCGGAACACGTTGCGTCTGGCTTGACCAGAACAACCGGCAGTTCACGCCACTCAACTAAATCAATTAACGGAGGCCAGATGAAATAGTAGCTTATTTGTGGCTCGTGCATCTTCGGAGAACGTGGCAATTTAGCCGCAACGAAATCGATTTAACTCACTTGCGCGCCGGTCATCGCTCTTAATTAACTGCGCGTGTAAGCTCGAGGGTATGCGCGAGTGTATGTCATACATACGCATAACGTATATATTTTTTCAATCCGGATGCAGATTCTCGGAAGAGTTATAACCTCGGAATATCAAGACGGAAATTTTGTAATTATGATATTTGCGTTCATTTAACCTCATATATATGGAGACCAATTCTTCCGAGTACGCTGCAATTATTTTATAAAAAAATATTAAAATAGTATAAAATTAAAGTAAGTTCTAATTACTAATTAAATATGAATAATTGTTTTAAATTATAAAAATAATTGTTGTATTTAAACCAGTACTCAATCGATATTAAAATCTTTTTATGTTGAGCTATTTTCTCAAATTATCTTTCAATAGAAAGAAAAGTGATTGCTAAACGAATATATTGATATAAAATATTGAGATTTAAACCCGTTATATCTGATGCATTTTACGTCAGAGTGAAAATAATAGTGCAATTTTTCCCAGCCAATTCGCTGCATCCTTTTTTCCCATATGTCTGTGCAGCATTCACCGAATGATCTCGGTCAAATATAAAACGTGCGAAAAACGCTGATATTCGCAGGGTACAAGAAAAATACTGACGAAGGAGTTAATATGGGCCATAGATGCCGACACACCGTCGGAAATGCTGATTTATACGATTCTACGAGCAGATACTGATGCTGGGCACATCGAGAGAGTTACTTATCCGTTTCGACCTATCGACACATTTACGCAAGCCGAATTAATGCAAGGTCTTATCGCGTATGTGCATCGTGGAAATGGTAACAATCCATTATATATTTATATATAGATTATATATATATATATATATATTATACGTTATACATATTTAATGATTTATTATTGCATTTATAATCACAAGAATATGTTATATCTTCAATTATAAAAAAATTCAAATTTTATCTCGACACAACATTGTACGATACTTATTATATCTAATGTACATCTATCGCAATGAAGAATGCGCGAAGCGCATTATATTTTCATAGGAAAGCTTTTATAAACGAAATGTATTTAATTTTTCAGCTAAACCAAATGCAATGCTGGGTTTACAAGTGAGCGATGGCATCGAGACCAGTCAACCAGCGTATCTGCGCGTATCAGCTTATCCGTTGCAAATCAAGCTCACACACAATACCGGTCTCATTGTGGTTCACCGTTCGTTCTCTTACTTGACAACGGCGAATCTCTCGTTCGCCACAAATTCAGACGATAATACCATCGACATTCGTTACGACATCGTCTCGCCACCGCAGTTTGGTGCTTTGCAAAAGCTGAAGGACGTCTCCGGTAGTTGGACGAATGTAGACCATTTCACCAGTCGAGATGTGGAATTACACACCGTTCGTTATCTTCATAATGTCGGCAGTCCTAATCAAGACGAGTTTAAATTCCAAGCTAGCGTGCGCGAAGTGAAAACACAACAGACCTACGAATTTCGTATTACCTTCATCGATCTCGAGCTGAAGGAGATTAGAAGAGCACCTGTCAATCTCACCAATATATCAAGTATTAATATAACGAGCAACCACTTGAAGTACCAGACGAATCCATTAGTTACTTCACCAAATAAAATTGTCTTCACTGTTACAACGGGACCAAGATACGGCAATTTGTTTCTGCTCGATCGTAAACTCATGAAGGCGGATACCTTTACGCAGGAGGATATTGAGACCGATAGATTGAGCTACCGTCTGTTTAGGCGATCTTATTCCAATATTCTCGACGAAATAACGTTTAAAGTTAACGCACCTCAATGCGTCGACATACATGCCAATTTGAAACTTCGATATTATCTTGGCAAGAATAGCAAATCGCTGGAGGGCGTGGAGAATTTGAAAGTTGATGAAGGATCGAAAGTGCCTCTGAGAATCACGCATGTGAATCCAAAAGAATACGGTGTATTCTCTCTGATATACAATCTTACGATGAAACCGAATCACGGTTGGCTCTCCGTTGCGAATAGTTCGACGTCGCAGGATCAAAAGAACGTCTCGTCTTTTACATTCGAGGACGTATTGACGCAAATGGTGTATTATGTGCACGATGATTCCGAGACAAAAGAGGATTCTTTTGAGTTCGTGGCGATGTCCCTGGGCCCCATGGACTTCATGTATGTCGGAAAATTTCGAGTTGAGATCATCATGAGAAACGATAATCCGCCAGAACGAACGGTCAATAGGATCTTTCACGTCGTGTTGAAAGGGGAAAAATTGATAACGAATAAAGATCTTGCGTATATGGATAAGGATGTTGGTACTAGAGCGAGTGAACTTATTTACACCAGAAGAGATACTCGGAAGAGTGCGTTGTATAGAGTGACTAATCCCTCGGAGCAGATACGCGAGTTTTCGCAACAAGATATCAACGACGGTGTGATACTTTTCCGACATCATGGGGGGGATGAACATGAAAAAATTGAATTCGGCATCACCGATGGTCACTTTTACAAAATTGGCGTTCTTGAAATTCAAGCCAGCCCGCCGTACATCAGGTTACGCGAGAGCAATGGTTCAGTTGTTCAGTTCAATAAATCCGTGGTGCTTCGATCAAAAGAGTTAGAAATAGAGACGAACGTGTATGTTACTGAGAAGGACGTCAAGTACAGTGTGTGGGAGAAACCGAAACACGGTATACTGATGAAACATGGCAGAGAGTCGAATAGTTTTACCGAGGATGATCTGAAGCACGGTAGCGTGTTGTATAAGCATCTAGGTGGATCTTCAACAAAAGACGCCTTTAGATATAAAGTGTCCGTTAAGGGCGCGGATGCCGAAGGCGTGTTTGCGATTAAAGTTTATCCAGAGAGCTATTGGGAACCATTAATTGTTCAAAGTAACAAGACTATATTCATCGAGGAAGCTACTAGCGTTCTGCTGAATCAGAAGAGCCTCGAGATAATGCATCCTAAAATATCGCCAACCGAAATTATCTATTTCATACAAGAGTGGCCGCAGAACGGCTACTTAGATCTGCAGATCCACGATGAACACAACGAGGAGATGAGAGAGGAGTATAGCGGTAACGCGGTGAAGCATTTCGAGCAGAGTCTGATAAATGACAATCGTGTCTTCTACGTTCAGTCGGTGATGAATCAAACGAACGACCATTTCATTGTAGACGTAACTAATGGTATTACGTGGTTACGCGGTCTAAGTGTGAACTTTGTGATAGTGCCAGAGAAACTTTACGTCGAGGCGAAGAGTCTCACCGTTGTGGAAGGGAAAGATGTGATACTGGACGAATCGAATTTCTTGGTTGTGACACCGTATTACGTCGGCAAGGTGTCGGATTACAGAGTAGTAGAAAAGCCAAGGCACGGCACGATTCTCGATTCTACTAAGAATGCTCAGGTGAAGAAATTTTCGCAGAAACATCTGAATGCCGGGGTCATATTGTATAAACATAACGGGGACGAATCTTCGAACGACTCCTTTAGGATGGTAGTCACCGCTGGTGATAAGATGAGCGAGCCTTTTAACGTATCAGTCATTGTTCAACCTGTTAACGACGAGGTTCCTGTGCTGGTGAATAGAACCAAGTTAAACGTCTGGCAAGATGGATCCATTCTTTTGACATCGACAAACTTAGCGGCTGTGGACAATGACACTGCCCCTTTCGATATAATATTCAACGTTACTGGAGTGAGAAATGGATATATCTCATTAATCACTTCACCTGATATCGATATTTATAATTTTACACAGAGTCAAATCAACGAATTGCAAATAATGTTCACACACACGAGTAAGTATAATATTTAAAACTAATCTAAAATTAATCTAAAGTATATTATATGCCAATATTAATTTAAATGTAGAGCTATGCTTCTTAAAACTTTTACAATTAAATATAAACATAAAATCTTAACAATTATATGATAAATTTTATATAAATTTACAAAACTTAAATAATTTGTAATGAAAGTTGTTTCAGAAATTTAAGCTATAATTATAATTTTAACTAATAAAATTGCAAAACCCGAAAACATAAGCTTTGATATGAAAAACTAAAAATATACAATGTTTTTTCAGATGGAACTGACGGCGAATTCAACTTTGTTTTAAGCGATGGTGTACACATAACTAAGTCTTATACGATTTTGGTCGCCACAAAGCCAATTCATCTGAACATCGAACACAATATGCCCCTTAATGTCTTCCCCCTTACTAGGAAATTAATATCAGACAAACTCTTATTAACGACGTGTTCTGACGAAGCGAGGGAGATTAGATACACTGTACGAAACGGGCCCCATTTAGGTAAAGTTATAATGGAGACAAGTGAAGGGGTATGGCTGGAGGTCGAGCGATTTACTCAGAAAGATATAAACAATAGCAAAGTGATTTATGAGCACACTAAGCAGTTCATGGATCTTACGGCCAATGACTCTTTCACATTTGACGTCGAAACTCATTCCACTGGAGCTTTAACAAATCAGGTATAGAATATAACTGTTTTATAATATAAATGTATAAATGTTTAATAATATAAATGTTTATGTCTTAATATTATTAATATACAAGAATAATATATATTATCTTTTATTATTGTACTTTTCTATAATTTTATATTATAAAAGACGGCATTTATATATTTTTAAGTAAGTTAAGAAATTCAACTTTCTTTGATATTTAAAATTAAGAATTCTATGTTACTTCATTTTTAACACTTTTTTTTCTGTACCGCAGATTTTCCAAATAGATATATCAGTTTCGAGCGGTGGCTTAGATAGGTATATCTCTGCGAAAAACGTAAGAGTCATAGAGGGTGGCTCCGCGGGAGTCGTCATGAACATTAGCGGTATCGTATCGTTTCTACAGACCAACGCCGGAATTGAAAATCCGATAGTATTATCGAGATTGGTTCAACAGCCTAGTCATGGGCATGTCATGTTATTGCCGGATCTAAACGTGACCACCTTTACACAACCGCAAATTGAGGGTGGAAAAATTGCTTACTATCACGATCACTCGGACACTCTGGAAGATCGCATTCAATTCTCGTTATACTTGACACCCGGCCAGGTGTTACTTTGCAACACCAGTGTTCCTGTCGTCATTGAACCGATCAACGATCAGCCCTTCAAACTCGTCACCAACACCCCATATATTACGGTTGTGCAAAATCAAAATCAGACCATCACCCGAGAAAACCTTTTGACCATCGATCCCGACACTCCACCGGAAGAAATCATCTACGACGTGATTTCAGAACTAACGGACCGACACACGTTCAGCAGACTACTGCTCTTGCCTTTTGATCAGAACACCTCCGAAGTACGCCCGGTGAATAAGTTCACTCAGTACGACGTGGATTCTAATCGAGTGGTATACGAACACAATGGAACATTAAAACCTGCTTCTTTTTACTTTAGAGTCTGGGATGGTGCCTATACTCCGATCTATACCGTTTTTAACGTCCACGTTCTACCTATACGATTGAACGTGACGGTATCCGGTCCGGTTAGTTTACAACAAGGATTGAACGTGGCACTTATTACGGAGAACGACGTTAAACTTGACACAAACGCGCGTCAAGATCTGGTGATTTACGAAATTACGACGTATCCGAAGTATGGAGTACTGTATGTACGAGATAGCACCGCGACGACATTCAAGCAAGCCGATTTGCTGTCAAAAAGTGTGATGTTCATGCAGACTGACATGACAGTGTCGAACGACAGTTTAGAATTGTCGGCGCGATTGAGCGGCTTCGAGCAGAAACACATACGTGTCGAGATCAAGGTCGTGCCTCTCATGATCATGAACACGATGACGGCATTGGCGGGCGAGAAGAATCGAGTAACTCTGCAATATCTAGACGCGACTCCTCTAGCGAAGTTAACGACCAGCAATCCCTTTTATACCATTGTGAGAAAGCCGAAGTACGCGAAGATCAAGAGGATCATCAGGAGCTCCTCGTCGTCCGGTGAGAAGAGAGGCACGCGCGAGCGAGAAGTGGCCCGTTTCTCACATCAGGAAATTATCTCCGGTGTGATATATCTGGTGTGCAGAAAAATACCGTCGATAGACGGCGTCGTGGATAGCTTCAGCTTCATCCTCGCGGCGTCTATTTTTCAACCGGCTGTGAGTGACTTCGAGTTCCACATTAAGCTCGACATGGACGACGATAATATTACCCTGGGCGGTCCGATGGATCCGGTCGGTCACGAGGGTGAAATGGCGATTGCTCCGAATATGAGCAACGATTATCTGCTTATTCTCGGCATGCTGCTCGGCGTGTTCCTTCTCGGCGTAGTTGTAATTATCACGATTAGATGTCGGCACAATAAGTACAAGCATGCCGAGGAGGAAAAACCGGAAACCGCACCCGCCGTCGGCGTGATGCCACTTCCGAGACCTCCGGATCATTTGATGCCCGCCACTCCGCATCTGAAGCCTTTCGGCAACGATCACAATAGCGTGACAGCCAGCACACCACTGCCGATGTTGCCCTCGACGTTACCTCAGTGTAAAGTGATACCCTTGAGTCCTCTGGAAAGCGGTTCGGAGGTCGACGTAGCCGCCAGATATCCCTACGGCGTGGCGGACGGCGATGAATGGAGTAGCTTCGACACTTCCGATCTACCCTGTCAATCGGCCACAACTCAAAGGATCAAGAAGAACCCGTTATTGAGGAGGGATCAATACTGGGTCTAGCAAGAGAGAAACACGTTGCGGTTTACGCGAAGGAAGCCGTAGCGTCTCACGACGTGTTTCATGCGAAAATCGAAACTATCGTGGATATCACGGACTTGATGTGCTTAAGGAAAGTGAAATCTGCGATGAAGTTTATGGAAATTACTTGTCGAAGGCCCGCGGTCACCGCGTTGAACATATATGCGCCGAATGGTGAAATGACATTCGACGATTTGCAAACTCGATAATCTCGGTGCATCCGATTCTAAATTTGAACAAGTGAGGGAACTCTTAGATTACGAGAGAGAAGACCTATGGATCGAAAAATCGATCTATGATCGATAATTCGCGATCCGGGATAGTTTGCAGTGTCTCGTGTATTATTAGCTTAAAACAGGATGTAAACAGGAAATCTAGATCTTCTTGAATGTCACGACTATCGCCGCTATCACGAGCTCAATGTGCCTAAGAAATGTCTGACTCTGCTGACATTCTTTCCATTAATCACAAAAAACACGTCGATTTTTCGTATGTCTATACCGTATCCCTTTCTTCCGGCGGATTGAAATAAATTCGATCGTTGAAAACACAGACCGAAGGCTCACTAAAGCGCAGAAAGACTTTTACGACAAATTCGATTCTGGTCTGTAAATGAAAAGTCCGTCGGTATACTGGCTCGTTCTAGAGTTCAGATTTTCAGGTAGAAAGATTTTATGTTCCTTTACCATCTCCATTTTTACACCTTTTGTAAATCTAGAATAGTAAGATCGTTATAAAAGTGGCATTTATCGACTCAGATCAAAATCAAAATATTAAAACTTAAAAAAGGCAAAACTTCTGTTCCGCCTTAAAAGTTATATTACAGAGGAAACATCGAGTAATCGGGATAATACAGGAACTTTGTGACACTGTATCGTAAAATGATTAAATATATATAATGTAATCGAGAATGTGTACGTTCCTGTTACTTGCCACCAAAGAACGCAAACGAATGCATTTATATTAACAGCTACTCCAGTTTTGACATATCGTTTTATACTGCCATATTGCCCCAAGTTGAAGTTCTTTCCTCTGATATAGATCTCGCATATGATCATTTCATCCGGCTGTGTTTGAATGTTACTCGTGTATCGTGTAAATAAACATAAATTAACATTTAACATTTGCCCGATGAATCACAAAAAAATTGAATCACTTTTTTACGGCGATATAATACCATATGCTTTATCTTTACGTAGCAATAATTACAATTCTTATAAAAAATGCGTCATAAAACTGATAAAATCTTGTCGATTAGTTATATTGTCATCAATAATAAAAGCGATTAATCGATAGTGTCGTTTCCACAAACCATCTTTCTCTCATATTTTTATGATGATTATCTTGAATGGAATTACGTTAGAATCATCTATAGAGCGTACAATTTTTTTATTTCATCTCTGTAGCGAGCGATAGACACTAGGTAACGCCAGATAAGATGATTACTTGAGGTATCTTAAATGCGAAATTAGCAGTAATAGTTAAAGTTTATAAGTTGTTTTTTACACAAGTGCGAGTAGATCTTTTCTACTACGAATCGTTGATGCGCGAGTTCGTAATTCATAAGTGATGAACGGGGTTGTGCGTGCGCGATTTCAATATTATCTGAGAAATGTTTATTAATGGAGATTGACGTGTTGACGAGTTGATTCTTAAAAAAAATTTACGTTACGTTGTCCTGGAACTCATTCAATGAATCCACTTTCAGCCAACATCAGATAAACGAGATTAGTTTATATCAAATTTTATATCAATATTTTTTAGCTCATAATAAGAATTGCGCAATTAACAAATTAATATCACGCATAATATTATGACATACAATTATATTTAAAAAAACTATATGTCAACGAGAAACAAAAATATAGCGTCAATTCGGGTCAAACAATATAAATTAATTAAAGATGAAATAATCAGAAAAATTTATATCTAAAATTAATAAAATTTTTCAACGATGAGAAGTATTAAAAAATATGTATTAATATAATATATTAATACATATTTTTTATAATAATAATATATATTTTTAAAATTTTCACGAATATTTGTATTATAATAATTATTTAGAATTTGTGATGAATTTTCATCTAATATGATATCATTTCTCTTCGTCCTGATGAAATGGATTGAAATGTTTCTGGTAGCTTGGCATTAATAATGCATCTTAATTCATAAAAATCCATAAAGTTCTAAATAACAATGATAATATTTTTAAAAAATGAACATTCATTAAAAAATCCGCGCTGTAGCGCATTTAAACTTAAATATATTATACTTTCCATTTTATCGTTATTATTTATTCAAGATTCTTTTCTTTTTTAAAAGAGATGAGATAAATTTTTTTACGGACAGGACTCAAATTATCTTGGATATAAAATAAGAATGTATTAACGAAAATAAAATTTCGTACCTTTTTACAAAGAATTGAAAAAATGTATGGCTGAAAATGGATTGATGATAATTTCCCTAAAATCTTAGCATATTTAATAAAACAATTTAATGTGAATGTTGATCATAGCGATCATAATGATATATATATATATATATATATTATAATGTGTACAACACTCCTATGTAGGACGTTCCATGAATTTGTAATATATGCATAAGGCTCAATTGTCTCTCTGCAGCCATATTGAATTATGACGTCAGAGGCGAGAAATGACATATAAAAAGTTTCTTGCGTCGTATAACTTTATTCTGTACTTTTTCCTTAAAAACATGATATTTTCGTATTTTTAAAACTTGTAAAAAATATCAGAAAGTAAGATATCTGTCCAATTAATCACGTAAAAGTGTAAAATAAATCTTGGAAATAATGGTAACTGCTCAGCTATCAGAAACAACTAGATCTAGTCTGATAATTTCTGATAGCTAAGCAGTGTACCATTATTTCAAGATTTATTTTACATTTTTACATGATTTATTGGACAGATATCTTACTTTCTGGTATTTTTTACAAATTTTAAGTATACGGAAATATCATGTTTTTAAGGGAAAAGTACAAGATAAAGCTATACGACGCGAGAAACTTTTTACATGTCATTTCTCGCCTCTAACATCACCCAACCCATGTCGCGCCGCAAGAGAATCGAGCCTTAATAGATTCTAATTAAAGACATTTTATCAAGTGAAGCAGAGAGAGAGAGAGAGAGAGAGAGAGAAAGAATAAAAGAGAACCCGTTCGTTGATATGTTAGAGACGAACTGTTAGGCTTTTTTACATCTACCAAAAGTGAACTGATCCGAGTGCCAAACTTCTATAATCTATAATATATAATTATCATAGGACTTGTATTTTCCCTGTCGACTGAATGCATTACTCTTTTAATTCTAATAAATTGAATGTGCGATGTTAAGTAAACACAGTTTATTATTTACTTCGTATTACAAATTTTATTTTTTATTAACGCTTTTAATTCCATATTATCTATATAATTGAATTATATCTTAAATAAATATTCTTTCATATTGTAAGGAAGATCCTCAGAGGCGTCAGCAAGTTTAAATTTTTCCCGCGCAGTAGGGCGCAGTGCGACCTATTTTGATATTAACACTTATTGGTTGAAAGATCACGTGATGTATTACGATTGGTTAGCGAAAGAGATAGCAGAAGCGAATAACGGCGAATTGCAGCGAGTAAGATTGGAACGCCGAAAAAGTGCGGATGTCGTGCGTAAATTGAAATAAAGAGGAAGTAAAAAAGAAGAAGTGTGTGTGATTGAATGTGCCGCTTGTCACCTCGCGCATCTTAATAATTAACAATCGATTGCTACGAGGGGAGCGTTCCAGATGCGCACATTTTCAATCGGACACACCACTCACATCAGCCGATGCCTAGGAATTTTCTAGTGAACCACCTATCAAAAATTTTTTTATTTAATCGACCAATCGGCAATGTGTCCGATTGGACTTCACCCGCTACGATCAGAGTCAAAAGATTGTTCCTTTTATCGTTTGACTCTCCTGAGAATTCGCAGTAAATTTAGTTTTACGCACTTGCATTCTTACAATATTTATTCTACTTTTTCCTATTTTAATTTAATGTTATTATTAGAAGCATAAGAATTTAAAAATTCCTTGAAAAATTATACGCGTGTAAAAAAAAATAACATCTCAACAGCGTCAAATCAAACTCATAATTTTGTTAACTTGATAATGGTATTAATAAAATATGTGTGTGTGCTGTGTGTATATAGTGTGTATATTTACAGAAATGTTTTAATTTAAATAATACTTTCATATAATAGCAAACATATAATAGTAAATAAAATGCAACTTAAAATGCAACAATATCAGTGACTATAATCGCATATGCGTACATATGCATAGCTTTTT